TCGTTTTCCGAATAGTGGAGCACTAAGAACCCTTCGAAGGTAGGACTCAATTGAAGTATCATCCATCCATGTATACCCACCCCAGTGTAGCTCTGGCTTGTTGTGGAACTTTGTAATTACTTTAGGATCCGGTCTAACTCGATTCAGCAACACAAAGGGTCTACACTTGAAGCCATCATCCAGGGCTGCTAACATCACGGTGATTCGCATCTTATCGTGACCTGTTGAAAGAATCGCCATCTCTTTAGATTGAGATTGAATTTTCGAATCCACAAGACGAGTTCCCATCGAGACCCATAACTAAAGAAAAAGATTCTTTAGACAATACAGGGTGACCATAAATAACGTTGCGGGATTTTCGGCAGCCTAAAATCCTCAAAGTTTCAATTTTTTTTTCAATCCGCAAATCCTGTTTTCTGACGAGAAGCTCTTCTCGGTGGAGCAAAGCTACAACCACCATCGGATTTGGTCAACGTCCTCTCCAGGCACGTCTGCGATTGTTCAACACCGACAAAATCCCAAATCGGTCATGGTATGGGCCGGAATCTGCGCAACCGGCAAAACTCCTCCCATTTTCATCGAATCTGGGGTAAAAATTCAATAAGGATGTGTACCAAAAAAAGATTCTTGAGGATGTTTTGCTTCCATGGACTCAACAGCATTTTGGTAACGGATTTTGGACCTTTCAACAAGACTCCGCTCCTTCTCATCGAGCCAAATCCACACAGGACTAGTGTAGGACAAACTTTCCGGATTTCATCTCGGCCCAGGAATGGCCTCCGTATTCGTGCGATCTCAATAGTTAGACTACAGTGTTTGGTCAATTTTGGAGGCAAGGGCTTGTGCAAAACCCCACAAAAGTTTGGAGGCTCTTAAGCGATCGTTGATTAGGGAACGGGATCGAATCACTCCGGCCGAGCTGCGGCCCATCACCGAAAACTTCTCATAAAGCTGCCGAAACACAAGACTGGATAGCCAACAACTTTCCTGATTGGATTATAGTGGATATCAGCTCGCGGAGCCCAGGAGAAGGTCTTCAAATTCTCCAGATTTGAACGTTTTGGACTATTCCATTTGGTCGATCTTAGAGAGCAAGGCATGTGCAAAGTCCCACACATCGGTAGACTCTTTGGAACGGGCACTAACTAAGGCTTGAAACGATTTTTCCATCACCACAATTCAAAAGGTTATCGATGAATTTCCAAAGCGTTTGAACCAATGTATTGCTGCTAATGGTGGTCATTTTGAGCAATAATCGTTGTTTACATAATGTTTTTGTTAAATTTAATAAAAATTATTGTTCTTCTAAGAAAGATTTGTTTTTTCCGCAGTTACTATTTCGTTACCATAATTATGGCGCACCCTGTAAACAATTTACATTCTATTCTATTCATTTTCCATTGACATTTTCATGACTACAAGGTGCCACAGGAAGACGGAAACTCGGATTTTCGACTATAACTCAACACTAGTGTATGTACAGCTTGAGTAAAGCGTTTTCTAACGCGCGGACCCAGAAAAAAGTTGCCGTAACTTTGTGAATAGCCGGGTGGGTTACCCGTTAGCTTCTAAAACGAGCCACTGTGAGGTCCCTGGTTCGAATCCGGTCAGAGTCAACACTTTTAAGAAAGACTTTTGATTTCCATATAATTTGACAAAGACTGCTTGCAAGCATTTATTAAAGAAAAAAAATAAATGTTTTTAATTATTGAATCCAGCTAAAAGCTTGGCAGGAAAATATTTATAAAATAAAATAATTGGCTCCTTTTATACTAAACTGCTAAAGGAGGGCGTTTTAGAATGGGCATTACTTGACGTTTTACTTGACGCTTACTCAAGTAAAAAAATGACTTGGAAAAATTTGCTCAAATAATTACTTACTTGAGATGTACACACTTTACTCAACACCCAATTATTCAATTTCCCTAATTTCATATTTATATGAAATTTCAAGTTAATTTCCGCAGTCAATTTCAATTTTTAGTTCAGAAAAACAGTGTTACGTTTTTCTATAGTGCTTCGTAGTTCAGAGGTGTCAACCTCTCGCGCTTGTCTACGACCCACACGATCCGGGTTCGACCCCCCGTAGTGCCACTAAATTTTGACTTTGAAAAATCTGCCCTCTACGGGGAACTCCTCGACTCTGAAAACCTATGAGCGTGTTGTTTTTGAAGCTCTAGCTTCTCCCGTTCTCGTGATGAAAATTGCGTACAGAAGGACAGACACTGCTCTTAACAGATTTCAATTGATTCAAAATCTTCGCTGGTCGGTCAATGTCGAACTCGTCGCTGAAATGTATCGATAATCGGTCACACGAGTGGATTCGTTCGACCAATGGAAAAAGGAGATCGGCATCTAATTGTATGCGTTCGTCGAAGTCAAAAGGAAATTTCTGGATCGAAATCTTGTCACAAAGCCTGATTTCGCACACCTGACGCCCAGAAACCATCCAGGGTTTTCGTAGTAGAATCGATCGAAAACCTTCATTCACCTTGACCAATTCAATCGCATCTTTCGACTCCATTTGCGCAAACACTTCGGGTCTAAAACTCGTCATAGCCTAGCTTTTCTATCACAAATAACGTCAGCTTTCGCATCCGAAACGACATTTTGCTATTCCTACCTAAAAAACAATTAGAATTAAAAGCCTCTACACGAAATTCTAAATAATCGCTAGGTAACTATGCTTTTCAGCCATGATAAGAATTATCATCATAAAAATTTCATAAATCAATTTATTAATAATTTATTACATATATATGTTGTGTCCGAAAAAATGAAATAAAGTTATAGTTACTTACCTTGTTTCCCGTGAATAGAAGAATCACCGATGGCGGCACGAAAGGAAGTTGAACGTTCCGGCACATCAGCAACAGCAAGGAAGTCCGTCTCAAAAGAATAGAGTTGATTTCTCTTGATTAATCACTCGTTGTTGTGCTGGCAAGTCTTTTCAGCAAATTGTTTTCGTGGTAGTTTTGTGGTAGTTTTGTGGTAGTTTTGGTTTCTCGCAGTTTTCACGATGATTGTGGAGCGTTTCAACCATCAAATTGTAGGCTTCAGCGGTTGGAATTTGTCCTCATTTCTTCTTTTGTAAAAACACGCCAAATTCTTGGTCAAAAAGGTCCTCCATCTGTAAAAAAGCAGCATTTAATAGGAAAACAAGAAAACAAAAAATGCTCAAAAAAAGACAATAAAATTTCTTTGAAAAGCGCAGAAAATTGCAAAAAAACGCTTAAGAACATATATTAAGCATGTTTATATTATTGTTCAATCTATATAAGACGTATTATTATTCAATCTATATAAGATTTAGATTGAATCTAAATCGGACACAGCATATACATAAATAATTTATTACAGCAATGATTCTCCATTTAATTCAAGTAATAAGTCAATGGCAAGGTCGTTCGATTTTTCCTTCAAAAATCTCGCGATGGCGCTGTCCTCGATAGGGTATTTGATCTCCGGGGGAGCAGGGCTCTTTGATGCTCTGTTCCATTTTTCGCAATCTTAATTAGGAATTGTTTTTCAAGATCCAAAAATGCTTTAATAGATCAAGATCGAAAGTATACTTTCAATTTTAAGTTGATGCGTCTGTTCATTCCAGGAGCCTTCATAGTTTGTGGGCGATGCCTCTTTGAATTGAGGGTAGCTTCGAGAATCAAAGTAAGGAAAAATAAACTACAAGATCTTTTGTAAATAAGATATCCTAAACCATTACAGTCTCGTTTCCTGGGTCGTCAGAGTGATCACAAAAGTCATTGAGCCGAACCAAAGCAAGGTCAGGAAATTGATGAAAAAAGTTGTCTAAAACATGATATCAAAGTAATTCTGATACTGAAAAACGACGAAACTCAAGTTATTTTCCCAGTCACTTTTCTACTTTTCAGTTATTTTCTGAACAGCGAAGGTCAAGCCACGGCGAAGTCGATCCCCTACAAGGATTGCAGTAATTCAACGTGCAAGAGAAATGTTTGTTACTTAAAATTTGAGAATTTTTGAAGATCTACCGGACTTTTTACCAGGATACAGAAATAACGACCAGGCACAGCTGGAAGGCTGTTTCTTTCCAGATAAACGTTGCTGCACAGCTGGAAAGTGTGCACTTCCAAATGGCCAAAGTCAAGCACTTGATCAAGAATGGACCGATCTCTTTTGGCTGATTGAATAACATTTGTTTTACTTTGCTCAAAAAAATTACAGGAATGCTGATGAATCCGGATTTCCACACTATGAAGGTGGGATTTTGATTTTGCAAAAAAAAGTAGACAATTAGATTTTACCCCTCGGCAAATCTTTTCTTTCTTTTTATATCCATTGGCAAATCTATTATTAGGAAAATGAGTGTTTGGCCAGTTAGCTGAGTATCTTCAATTTGAATTAAGGAAAAAGCGCGCGAAACTTCCTAAACGATCATTTATTCTACCAGCCCTTCCCTAACGGGTGCGTATTTTATTTAAACTTTTTTGTCTTTCTTTGCTATTTGAAACGAAAGTCTCTTATTATTTTGCTTTTGTTTATTTTGCAGAGCTGTTGCTGCCGGCCCCCGGAATTGGGGTGGAACGCGAGCCACGAGACGTCAGCCACTCTCCATCAGCCTAAACACCGGATTACAGGAGATTGTGAGTTTTTTTTGTTTTCACCTAAATGCTTTTGCTCTTGTAAAGTTTCTAAAGTGGCCTGTAGGTGTCCTGGTGTTTCCTTTTGTAAAAGCTTTGTAGATTAGCAAATTTCAAACTGTAGTCTGGCTCTGCGATTTTAGCAATTGTTGAGCTTTTATTTCTATGTAGTATAACATTTATTATACGAGTAATAAGGAATTCGCGATGTATAATTCTAATTATATAAATAGCGTCTACGATCCTCACTAAAATAAAAAAATAAACACCGGTTAATTTTAAGTGAGCATAAAAAACACAACATAGCAAATACAGGTTATAAACACCGGTTAACTTTAAGTGAGCATAAAAAACACAAAATAGCATATACAGGTTTCTTTAGGCAATGTACTCATAAACATTCATCGCATCCTCGGCCCGTTTGAGGAAAAGACGCTCCATGAGACCCTCAATCGACGTACGCACCTTCATCACGTTTGGAGTGAATCGAGTGGAGAGCTGTTGAAGAACCTAAAAGTAAACACGTATGTCTTTATTTATTTTGACTTCATCGGACTTTCTGCATTTAATAAAGTAGACTTCATTCGCCATTTAATGCTTACCTCGGAGATCAATTCATTGTGAGCAAGTCGCTTACGAGTCTTCATGATTCGAACAATGCAAGCCTAAAATTCATTAATCATGCTTTACTGCTATAAATGAAACCTCAGTGACGAGTGGTCGGTCCTCGTCAATATATTGCTTGTCTTTCTCTGCCTCTTTCTTCACTTCAGAGCGCATTTGAGTTCTTGTCAAATCCACTTTGATCTTCTTGCTCTGGAAGTTTGGATTAAGCGCGAAGACAGCGGTATCAGCAATCTCGTTCTCAACTTCTGTACCGGCCGCTACATCACCACACTTCAAAAGATCGTTCTAAAAATAAGGCCTGCTTTGATTGTGACAATCAGGAGACTTGCCTTAAAAAGCGATCCAACGACAGGGACGAGTTGGTCCTTGGGCATGTTCAATTGTAACATCATCTCTTTGAGATTCAAAGCCTGTTTCGGAGCCTCATTATAGAGCATCAAAACAGCTAAATTGAACAATTTAAACACATAACAAGAACTCGAACTTACCCATTTGAGCTGTCCATGCTTGAAAACCATATTTCTTCTGGAAACCGGTGCTGGAAAGCTCGCCTCGTGATTGTGAATAGATCCAGCTCAATTTGCGCCCATTGTGTTGAGTATTGTAGTAATTCTTGAAGTGTTCAATAGTTTCAGACAATTTCAACGGCATCTAAACAAAACACAGTTAAACTTCAACGGAAGGCCTCAACACAAACCTGCATTTGAAGTTGTGGCATGCTTGGCCACGAGGAATATCCGAGAACCATGATAGTAAAGTCCAACCCGAGTGCAACGTCCTTCTCTTGACAATTTTTGCGGAAATTCTCCGTAATAATCTAAATTGAGATGTCATTGGAGTTGGGTTTAGACAAACCTTGCTAAGCTCTGTATCCGTAAACATTCGTTGAAGCTTGTTGGTGTATTCGATGCCGCACATTTGCTTCAATTTTGAGATCATTTGGGATTCAGCTGTGTCTGAAGCACTGAGTCCACCAATGAGCCTAAACGATAACTGTGAGATCAATCTTCTTGCAAATATTACCGTTTGGAGAGCATCTTTGTGTAAAATTGCTGAAAGACATCTTTATCCTCGATATATTTGAAGACCGCGATCTAAAGTCTCAGAATATTATCAAAGTCGCATCACACCGGAGTCCAAATTTTCAATACTTACAACATTCTGCAACTGTTCCTCCGTTTCGGCTTCTCCAATGTTATCTTTGGATTTCCTAAGCAACAGATCGCAATATCTAAATTTACAATATAGCAGAGCTTCACTAGAATTATACCTGGCAATAAGTTCGGGAACCTTCGAAGAACTATTTCCGGCAATCTTAGTGATAGCATTTTTGTTGATGAAGTGGGAAGAAGCCTAGAATCTCATAGGTTACGAATTACCACTGATCTCAATTTTACAAGGTTAAAGTCCAAACCTTGTCAAGTGCTTCTTTAAAGCCAGCTTCATCTCGAAATGACTTTGACACGAGTCCTTTGTAGCGCATATGAACTTCCAAAATTCCTCGCATGAATTCACGTGGATCCTAAAATGTAGCCAATTAGATATAACCAAGAAAAACCCACATTTGGTGATTTCTTGGCTATTTCATCAATGGCATTCTGTCCTTGTCGCGTAATGTGACGCTCAAGAGCCAGCTTCAGTTCCTCAAGTCCTTGCTCAATACGGCCACATAGCTATAAGTGAAATAATGAAAAAAGAATCACATCAAGAACCGTTTACCTGATAAATTCTGGCAAGATCATCATCTCGTTCTTGTTCAAGCAATGGTCCAAAATCGCGTTGGAAAAGTTCAATCTTTCTCAGGACGAAAACCTAAACAATTAAGGGCTGGTGATAAAAAAGAAGAGAGCTGAACCATTTCACAGATTTGGGAAAGCCGCTGAAGCCTGGATGTCTGAAGATCCTCGTCCAATCGTTTTTCAATCTAAATGTGTCACTATTTTGATCTTTGAAATACGCAAATACCTTTTTCATGTATTTGGTGAATAGATTTTGTTGAAGGATATTCTAAATAATATTCAAATGATAATTCATTAAAATGAAAACCTTCAGATCAGGTTTCTCAACGGGACGGCCTGTGGAGCTTGCGTCTTCATCAATACCATCATCTCGTTCCTGTTCAAGGAATGATTCAAAATAGCGTTGTAAAAGTTCAATCTTTCCCGGGATCAAAACCTAAACAATTAAGGGCTGGTGATTAGAAAGAAGAGAGCTGAACCTTTCCACAGATTTGAATAAGCGGCTTAAGCGTGAACGCCTGAAGATAGGAGTTGCATCTTTCTACTTCCTCGTTCAAGCGTTTTTCAATCTAAACGTGTCATTATTTTGATCCTTATATACTCAAATGCCTTCTTCATGTATTCGGTGAATGGATTTTGTCGACGGAAAGCTTCTGCTTCGGTGGTGTAGTAGTTCTCCGTTTCTCCCAAGAAGCGCTTCTCGAACCTTTGTTGGTAGAACTAAATAATATTCAAATGACAATTCATTAAAATGAAAACCTTTAGGTCAACTGGTTTCTCAAAAGTATGGCCCGTGGAATAGCTTCCGTCTTCATCAATACCCAAATCAACTAAAATGTAAAATAGTGTCCTTGTCCAACTCTAAAAATTCCCAACCATAAGATTCAACCACAGCCCGGATGAGTGATCGATCAATAATTTGTCCATCGCGCTCTTGGCGAATCAAATCCATAACACCTTGCATGAGCTTAAAAGAATAGAATACATAAATAATTCTAGACAAATCTTACTCTAGCATCCAGTTCGCTTAGCAAAACATCTCGCCAAGTAACAAGTCCAAGCTAAAAGATAAATTTTATAAAACAATACATATTTGGTTCTTTACCGTCTTAACGTAGAAGATGGGCTCACGTTTATCCTCAATTTGGCGCTTGATCCAATGTTTGTTCAGATAAGCAAACATGCCATCAGTGGCCTATAAAAAGATATAAATTGTGATAAATAGAGACTTTACTTTGAAATAGAAAGGGAATTTCTCCCATTTCTCCGCGTAGAAGCGAACCAGTTCTTCGCCATGTTTTTCGTTTCCTTCCTAAACACTCGTAAGTTTTAAACGTGACAAAACAACCTGAAGAGCTTCAGTCACGGTGCGTTCAAGATAATTCTTAAGACGTTGATAAAGTTCAGTGAAATCAGGTCCATTTTTATGGTAATGATTGTATACATGACTTAAATCACAAATGATCATTGCTTTGAAGTTCTGAACTTACGTGTAAAGCTTCATGTACCGTTTCTGCTCAATCCGACGTTCTCCAAAAATGTCGTCAAGTCCGGACTCAAGATCAGGCCATATTGTCTCCTAAGTGAAGCGTAAATTAATAATTTATTACAAGAAGACTTACCACTTCGTACTGCATGTTAGTTGAGTTGGTTGTCATTGCTTAAGTTTCCTCAACCTTTGTCTTTTTATCTGTTGGCAGTTTCTTCGAGTTGCAGATAGACCTTTCTTGCACTTTTTAAAATATTCAATCTAAAATTCAAAATTATATAAAAAATATAGAATTTTAGCATCATAAAAGCCTAAACTATAAATAAGGTTACGCGAATGCTACAAAATGCATGATCTAGCAACGAAAACGTGCCAAAACACCGAACAGCCGATGCGATTCACACCAAATTTCGCTTACTGCACATTGCAAAATTGAAAGAAAGCCGTTTCGATATCTTACGCAAGAAAAGAATTATGATAAAGAACTTTTATATAAATTCGAGACAGCACGTCATTTCCATGATTCATCAGCAAAAAATCAATGCCCTGATTTTAAATTGGACAAAAAATATAGTTCCATTCCAGCAACGTTAAATTTTTAGTTTCCTCAGCTTCTGTCTTTTTATCCAGTTTCTTCGAGTTGCAGATAGACCTTTCTTGCGCTTTCTAAAATATTAAAGACACAGGAGGAGAAAGAAAACCATCTAAGGTAGACTGTGTTCCGGGTCGGGTCTACCCGAAAATCAAATCTTTCGGGTCGGGTCGGGTTGACCGTTGAACTCGAACATAATAAACAGAAAAAACAAGCTAACATTAATTGTTCCAGCATCAGGCATTTCGCAAGATACAATAAACTTGAATAGAAAATCAAACACTTTGTACAAATAACAATTTACTTGATTTACAACATTCCACCTAATAATTAATGTAACATACTAAAATATTAGCAATTACAGCGAAAACAAACAAAGACCTAACGTTCAATTTAATCATTTTGAGAATCAGACGGTCATTCCTCGTTTTCATTGATGCATTCTTGCTACGAATGAATTTTTTTGTCTGCCAATCACGTTTTATAGCTATCTGGGTTACTGTAGAAATGTATTCAGCCAACCTGACTTAATACTACGTAGTAGAGTTCGGCAAACAAAACCAAAACCAAAACAGACCAAAACCAAAACACCAAAACAAACCAAAACCCAATTTGCATATAAATTAACATGTAAATTTAAAATTGTAAAATGCAAATTTGCCTTTCACTTTTTCTCACTCCACAAAATCTCGCGGCCGCGGCCGAAAAAAGGACCAAAACAAGACCTCGAAATTTCGAAACAAAAAATAGCCGATGGGATAGATTTTTGGATGCTGATTACAAATCTGCAAACAGATTTTCGCTAGCTCCTCCCAGTCGCGAGATATTGGCGAGTTTTCGTTAGTTTTGGTTTTGGTTTTGGTTTTGTTATGGTTTTGGTTTGGGTTTTGTTAAGGTTTTGGTTTTGGTGGTTTTGGTTTTGGTTAAGTTTTGTTTTCCGAAGTCTACTACGTAGCATTTACAAATTTGATTCATATTTAGTAATGAATTTTATTCGAACCGGGTCGACCGGATTGCCCATGTCTAATGTAGGGAACTCGATAAAGAAATGACAGGGTGCTTGAAAAGTTCTGTTCCCTCCTAAATGACCATTGTTACGATGTCTTACGAAGTTTCCAAGACTCAAAATCTACAAAATTAGATTTTTCAAGTATTTTTACGCTAGAAAATGCTTCCATATTTTCTATTTTAAATTTAGAAAATATATAGAAAATTTTATAGAACTTTTTATGACAACATTTAAGGTACCCTCTGGTCGCAAGTCAAAATAGCTTTCCTAAACGCTTTTTTAAAATAACTATTTAGCTACTAAAACATTGTCCTGTGCACTCTTTAGCATTATTCACATCTGGCTAGCCATAGTTCGTAGGAAATTTTGCTTCTACGATCCGGGTTTTTTTGAAAAGAGGTGACCAAAATTACATCAGACCTCAAAACTGCAGAAGTCGATCTGAAGAGGTCCCTTAAATGGGGATGAGAATGCTCAACTGCAAATTCAAAACCGTAATGAATTATAATAAACTGTTTTTATAGCTAAATAGTTACTAAAAACTTGAAAATCCCAAATTCTAATTTGCTACGAAACTAGGAAAGCTATTTTGACTTGCGACTAGAGGGTACCTTAAATGTTGTCATAAAAAGTTCTATATGAGTAAAATAGAAACTATGGAAGCATTTTCTAGCGTAAAAATACTTGAAAAATCTAATTTTGTAGAGTTAGAGTCTTGGAAACTTCATAAAACATCGTAAAAGTGGTCTTTTAGAAGGGGGAGGGAAAAAATAGAGCGGCACCCTCTAATAGAACAGCACCCCTACGCAAATACCGTATTCTCTCTAATAGTAGTGCGCACTACTATTTTTTCAACCCCCTCCTGGACCGCAATACTATTAGAGAGTGCACTACTACTAAAGAGTTTTATCATTTACCAAAGTAAGACAGATACGATTTTTTCCAAAAATTCGTGCAGGAAAGGCAACTTTCTAAAAATTTATTGACTTCTGATAACAAAAAGTTAACTAGACAAAAAATCTACAACAGAATCATCATCCTTATCCAGTTCAATATTTTTGAGTTGATCCTTTACTCCGTTGATCGATTGTTCGAGACGACCATTGGCGAGAAGTGTTGCGACTTCAGGAATCGGTCCTTCTTTTTGAAGCAGTGAACGAGACCATCTTCAGAGCCATCAGTAGCTGTGGTACTTGCACAACTCTTGAACGAGTTTATGATGAGGTTTTTTGGGAGCTCGTTCCAAGCATTTCAAACCCACTCAAGGTAAGTTTCCATCGGTGGAGGAGCCGGGTTTCCATTCCGGGTCAAAGGTTTTGGTTCATTCGCCATCCATCCCTCGTACTGTGCTCGAAATCTAGCCTTAAACGGTGCATTCCACATGGAATCGGGAGATTGTATGTACTTGGTACATCCTCCGGGCACAAGAATCGAATCAATTTGCAAATCCTTTAAAGTTTTTTTGGCTGTTCGCTTTTATGGGCAGAAAAGTTGTCCCAGACGATTAATCGTTTTCCGAATAGTGGAGCACTAAGAACCCTTCGAAGGTAGGACTCAATTGAAGTATCATCCATCCATGTATACCCACCCCAGTGTAGCTCTGGCTTGTTGTGGAACTTTGTAATTACTTTAGGATCCGGTCTAACTCGATTCAGCAACACAAAGGACCTACACTTGAAGCCATCATCCAGGGCTGCTAACATCACGGTGATTCGCATTTTATCGTGACCTGTTGAAAGAATCGCCATCTCTTTAGATTGAGATTGCATTTTCGAATCCATAAAGCGAGTTCCCATCAAGATCCATACCTAAAAAAAGATTATTTAGACAATAGTAAAGGTGACCAACAAAAATTATATAATCAAGCAAGCCCTATTGCCAGGATTGCTCAACCGATCCCAATTGTTATCCTTTAGACAATACAGGGTGACCAGGAATAACGTTGCGGGATTTTCGGCAGCCTAAAATCCTCAAAGTTTCAATTTTGGGAGACAAATTTATTTTTAACCTATTCTCTGTGATTGTTTTTATTAGTTTCTTTGTTGTTTTATCTTGATTCAAGTTTATACATAGGATGACAAACAAGGGATCTGCCATTCTGGAGCTTCATCGTCAAGGTCAATGCGTGAGTGCGATCGCGCGATTGCTACGTGTTCTCCTCAGCTCGTCTCAAAAGCGATTAAGCGATACAAGGAGCTTGGCAACGATAGAGATCGTCCAGGAAGAGGCAGAAAAAGAACAGTCAACACCTCCAGAAATCGCAAAGTGATTCAGAGGCGCGTGGCCCGGAATCCACGGGTCTCAGTGAGAAAGATCGCTCGACAGACGGGGATCGCTCGCGAACCGGTTCGACTTATGGCCAAAAATGAGCTCAATTTTCACCCTTACAAGCTCAAGCAAGGGCAACAACTCGACGACGACAACAAACGAGTTCGACTCGAAAGATGTCGAGAGCTTTTCAAGCGGGCCGCAGCTCCACACTGGGAGCAAATCCTGTTTTCTGACGAGAGGCTCTTCTCGGTGGAGCAAAGCTACAACCACCATCGGATTTGGTCAACGTCCTCTCCAGGCAGCTCTGCGATTGTTCAACACCGACAAAATCCCAAATCGGTCATGGTATGGGCCGGAATCTGCGCAACCGGCAAAACTCCTCCCATTTTCATCGAATCTGGGGTAAAAATCAATAAGGATGTGTACCAAAAAAAGATTCTTGAGGATGTTTTGCTTCCATGGACTCAACAGCATTTTGGTAACGGATTTTGGACCTTCCAACAAGACTCCGCTCCTTCTCATCGAGCCAAATCCACACAGGACTGGTGTAGGACAAACTTTCCGGATTTCATCTCGTCCCAGGAATGGTCTCCGTATTCGTGCGATCTCAATCCGTTAGACTACAGTGTTTGGTCAATTTTGGAGGCAAGGGCTTGTGCAAAACCCCACAAAAGTTTGGAGGCTCTTAAGCGATCGTTGATTAGGGAATGGGATCGAATCACTCCGGCCGAGCTGCGGCCCATCGCCGAAAACTTCTCATAAAGCTGCCGAAACACAAGACTGGATAGCCAACGACTTTCCTGATTAGATTATAGTGAATATCAGCTCGCGGAGCCCAGGAGAATGGCCTTCAAATTCTCCAGATTTGAACGTTTTGGACTATTCCATTTGGTCGATCTTAGAGAGCAAGGCATGTGCAAAGTCCCAAACATCGGTAGACTCTTTGGAACGGGCACTAACTAAGGTTTGAAACGATTTTTCCATCACCACAATTCAAAAGGTTATCGATGAATTCCCAAAGCGTTTGAACCAATGTATTGCTGCTAATGGTGGTCATTTTGAGCAATAATCGTTGTTTACATAATGTTTTTGTTAAATTTAATAAAAATTATTGTTTATAAAAGTTCTTACTAAGAAAGATTTGTGTTTTCCGCAGTTACTATTTCGTTACCATAATTATGGCGCACCCTGTAAACAATTGACATTCTATTCTATTCATTTTCAATTGACATTCAATTGACATTTTCATGACTACAGGGTGCCACAGGAAGACGGGAACTCGGTTTTTCGACTATAACTCAACACTAGTGTATGTACAGCTTGAGTAAAGCGTTTTCTAACGCGCCGACCCAGAAAAAAGTTGCCGTAACTTTGTGAATAGCCAAGTGGGTTACACGTTAACTTCTAAAACGAGCCACTGTGAGGTCGCTGGTTCGAATCCGGCCAGAGTCAACACTTTTAAGAAAGACTTTTGATTTACATATAATCTGACAAAGACTCCCTGCAAGCATTTATTAAAGAAAAAAAATAAATGTTTTTAGTTATTGAAACCAGCTAAAAGCTTAGCAGGAAAATGTTTATCAAATAAAATAATTGGCTCCTTTTAGGGAGTGGGACAAATGCGACCTTTTTTTTGCGCACCCGGACATTTGCGCACCTTTTTTTCCGCACTTAGCCCATTAGCGCACCTTTTTTCGCGTTTTAAAAACGATCTAAAAAGCTAATATTAACCAATTTCTATTCCAAAAGTTGTTTTTCTAGGTAATTTTAGGGCGTAGAATCGAAATTTTGGCATTCGGGTTCGGGTGCGAAAGTTCGGGAACTTTCGAAGAACTATTTCCGGGAATCTTAGTGATAGCATTTTTGTTGATGAAGTTCGACGAAGCCTAGAATCTCATAGGTTCCGAATTATCACAATTTTACAAGGTTAAAGTCCAAACCTTGTCAAGTGCTTCTTTAAAGCCAGCTTCATGCTGAAATGACTTTGACACGAGTCCTTTGTAGCGTATATGAACTTCCGAAATTCCTCGCATGAATTCACGTGGAACGGAAGTTGGAGAGATCGAAGTCCGTATGACTATTTCGAAAGCTTAACAAAAGCCTCTTCCAATAAAATTCCTCCGATCTAGACTGATTCTTGATAGGACGTCCGGTCTAGAATCGAGCCGATTACTCTAAATCAGACGTCCGACGCAGACTTAGATTTAGAATGATCGGCTTGATTCTAGATAGGACGTTTGACCTCACTTCACTCTAGATCGGATGTAACATACACATTCGATTGGGAAGTCTTTAGTAGGTAAATGTAGCCAAGATTAAGGGCTACAATTCTCTATATAACGCTTGACACTTTGAAATAAATTAAGCCTGCGATAACTACTTTTCCAAAAAGTTGTCCGGATAATTTTGAGCTCTTTGCCGCTTGCCTTTTATTCTGTTTGTTGAGTTCTTCTGGCTCGATTGCGTATGTAATTTACTATTTATCTAAAGCTGGTTAGACAATGAATCACTGAACAACAAATGAAATAATATTTGCGAATTTGATATAACTTTGGTTGCCACAACTCTAGTACTTATCTTACTTTCCTCTATTTGAAGAGTGAACTTGTACAATACAGGGCGGCTGAAAAGTTCTGTCCACATTAATAGACGTGTCTTTATAATAAGCTCCGTCGAGATCGTCGAGCAAAATAGAACTCAAATTTAGAAAATTCGACTATTTGTATTATTTATATATGTTTGTTTTAAAGAAGAATTTGTTTTTTGAAGTGCATTTTTAATGTTTTTTTTCAATCGACTCTTACGCAACTCCCTGGAACTCCCTCGATTTTTTAGCTCGACTAACAATGTTTGAGGCTCAAATTGAGATTTGAGATTTGAGGCAAAATGTCAAATTTCAAAAGCAACCTGACTATGTAAGGTATAGTATTAAAGAAAAATGATTCGTCTTTCAGATAGGTTATCAAATTTGCTTTTAAGGAAAATAAAACCGGTTTAGAAAACGAATTTTAAAAACTTGATATGTGACCAAACTGAAAAACGGTATTGACTGAAAATAATATTAAATAATAAAAATATTAATACTAAAAAAGTTTTTGAAACCATACTTTTCGTATCTCCAGGTTTATATGGTTGGCGTAGAGTAAAAATGAGCTCATCAAACAGAGGAAATTATTGAATCGAAAGAAATGGAAAAGCTTTGAAATTTGTTCAGAAACTTTTGCGATATTGGAGAATTCAGTGCTGAAAATAGAGGACTATCGATTCAGATCTAGAAAAATTAAGATTCAGATCGATTCTAAACAAGAGTCGATGAGATTTGGCTATTTAGGGCACTATCTAGGGAAAACGTCCAAGGATTACGGTAGCTTACACTATAAAAAAAACTTGATCTCTTTTTGGCCGTTAGTAAAGCGCTTTACTCAAAAGTTATCTAAAAATTGAAATTCTAGAAGTTTTTCGGATCAGATGAAAACTTAAATTGCTTACAATTAGTGGCTCTGACCAAAATCTATCATAGTTTAAAAGCTTGTGCTTTCAAATCGAAATAGTCCCTTTCTGGCTTACTCATTCAGTAACCCTTCAAATTTGAGACACTTTAGGCTTTTACAAGCTATATTATCGAGACAAATCTATGAATGGGGACCGAAATTTTCAGCCATCCTGTACTTGATCACTTCCATGAGCGATGAACAAACTTTGGAGAAATTGTTGGTGAATCCACCAAATATGCAAAATTAGACTAATATTTGATTTCCCTAGGGAAAAATTTACATTTAACGGCCAAATAAAAGGATTGCATAAGCAGCGGGGAAATCATCATTCGCAAACTTCGCAATCGCAACTATGCCCGGTCTTTCATCATTTCTTATGGCTGACGAAGACGTGAGTTTTTTTTTTAATTTTCACTTTCGTTACCTTACTTTTTACCAATTCATCGTGTTTTTACTTTTCACTTTTTTTACTAAAGTTTTTAATTTTACTCCTAGTTAGTATCATTTCCAGACTTTTTTTAGAAAGTTTTTGAACTTTCATAATTTATTCGTATTTGTTGTTACTCGTTTTTTTTAGAAACCCGATGGCTCCAAGAAAGGAGTAAAGGATGAGAAGCAAGAAGAAAAGGAAAAGAAAGAGAAAAAAGTTAGTTTCGCTTTTTTTTGCTTTAATTTATGTTTTAAGGAGGATGAAAAGAAGGACGAAAAAGTGGACTCCGGAAAAGACAAAAAGGAAGATAAGAAAGGTGACGCTGAGAAGGAAGGAGAGGACAAGGTTCGTTCTTTATTTTATTTTGCAATCTTCGTTACTGTGATGCTGTTGATTGTTTAGAAAGCTGAATGCTTAAAGAAGGATGAGAAGAAGGGCAGCAAGGAAGACAAGAAAGAGGAAAAGAAGAGTGGCAAGGAGAAGAAGGACGAAAAGAAGAGCGGCAAGGACGAGGAGATTAAAGAGGAAAAGGTTGGGACTGTGATAGCGCTCGAAATTGTTTTGTTTTAGGGAAAGGCCGATGACAAGCAGACTGATGAAAAAGGGGAGAAGAATGAAGAAAAGGATGACAAGGAGGAGAAGAAAGATAATAGCAAGGGTGGAGAAGCTGCTAAAGGTATTTATTAAGTGACTTTGCTTTCCTGATTCTAAAGTTTAGGTGAAGAAAAGGAAAAAGAAGAAATAATGCCTGAGGCTTGTGGAAGTTTAACCTTTTGTAATTTGCTCATTTTAGGGAGAGAAGAAAGAAAAGAAGCCCGAAGAAGCTGCAGCCGAGAAGGTCTTACTGCAGTTTTACTGTGGTTAACTTTTAACTTTTTAGGACAAAGATAAGGAAATGGAGAAGCCAGTCGCTGCCGCCGCTCCTGCTGCTGCTGTTCCTGCTGCCGAGCCCGCTAGAAGTGACCTTTTCAAGTAAAATACCAATATCGTCTTTTTTTAGAGCCAGCTGTTACAGCATCTGCAATGCGCACGGTTGCTCGGTAAGATTTGGTTTTATCTTTTAATCAGTTCAATTTTAGACCTTCTAAAATGCAGGGACTGTCACAGCTGCAGAAACCAAAAGGAAAATGTAAAGAATCTTGTGAGTATTTCTCATTGTATTTGTTTAGTTGCCTCTATGATGCGAAAACTTGGCTCAAAGATGAAAAAGTTTGCTTGTTTTCGTTACCTTTTTGGTCGGCGTGGAGATGTCCAAGGTTTGTTTGCTTTTTGTTTGATTTATGGTTGATTTCGCCACTTTTAATTTCGCAAAACTTTTCCTGGAATGCATATTTTCCGATCTTTTTCGGATTATTATTGCTCGGTTTGAGAAATATAGCTTGAAAAACTTTTGTTTGAAACACAAATTTGCTGGATATTTTATGTACGTTCATTAATATGCAGTCCAGGTGTACGAAAATACAAAAGTCTCGAAATTAACGATGGAAAATTATTTTGTTTTTGGTTCTTGCGGAACAAATTCTATGATCGGTTTCAAAATTGTGTGTTAAAGATTGATAAGAAAAATTGATATAATCTTTACCGGGTTGCTTAGGTTTAATAGTGACGAGTTAAATTTTATCGAATTGTTTTTAGAGGAGGAAGAGGAGGAAGAATCGAGGGCAGCCGCTGGCGGAGATTCGAACTATTGCCAAGGAGTTGGTGCAAAGCTTGAAGAGTACTTGCCATTTCATTTGGTAACTTTTTATTTATTTTATTTTTCTCTCTCAAGAAAACATTGTATTCTTTTAGAATTCGACGAAGAATCGTGATGGCGTTTGCAAGGCCGATTACAGTGCGGAAAGCTACGGTAGATCTATTTATTTTTTAATTTCTAGACTCTTGCAGAATAATGAAATGATTTGTTAAATAATGGTGACTCATTTTTGTTGTTTTACAGGATTTCCGCTCACGCACAACTCACACTCGCCAAGTACACCCCAGAACCAACAGTTTGACGGCAATTCAATTTATGTATATGTTGACGCAAGTGTGCGGGGGGGGCCATCAAAGCGGAATCGGCCTGTTCTTCGGATACGATCATGGCCTTCAAATTTGGCCGAAACGCTGGCTGCAATTGTGGCTTTGAAAAGGCTTAAAAACTGGAAAGGATTTCAGGAGTTAGTATTATTCATATGTAAAAAATATTTGAATCATTTAGGAGCACGATGGGAGTTGTCATCCGGAGTGATAGCAAGAATATGATTGATGCATTGAAGAAGGTGCCAACGTGGTACGACTCTCAGGGCAATTACCAGGGCATAGGAGCCAAACCAACTTTGCAGGAAGAATGGTTGGTTTTTGCGTTTAGATTCCTCTATATTTTATATTTAGTTACGCAAACTTACATCAGATTGCTGATAACTTTTCGGCGAAGGTGGAATTTCAGCATATCAAGGCACACAAAGGAGACCCCGGCAATCTAATTGTAAGTGTTTACAAATTGTTATTTACAAAATATAATGTTAATGATTTTGTTACTTTAGGCTGATTATTTGGCTCGTCGGGCTCTCGAAGAGTGGGGCCCACAAGATCATTGGGCGAACCCCACTGAATACACCGTCGAATATGATTGTATGTTTTCAATTTATTCTAAAGGAAGTATCTGTCTGTCTATATCTCTGTCTCTATATAACACATTTTCTAATTTTAGCTGGCAACTGGCTCTCAACTCTGGGAGACTACACCTCCATTACCAACTTTTTGTCTGCCGTTGATGCTCAGCTTGCTCCTATGCCATGAAAAAAAATTTGTATGATCTGGGTAATTTTTGTATTGATGAATAAATTTTTGGGATGAACTGTGTAACACTTTATATCTTGACAACAATCTTCGGTCTTCTATTATCTTTAACGGCTTATCTTTACCAGTTAGTTTTTCTTTACTAGGTCATCTTTCTTTAGCAGACTGAACACTTCAAGAAATGTCTAAGGAGCACTGCCATTGGATCGCCAAATAAACAAAAAGTTTCTGCGCGAAAATACCCTTCATTCGTCTCTCGTCTCGTAATTAATTCTAATTATGTGATTTGTGCTATGTCATATTATTCGTGAAATAAAGTGCACCACTTACTAACAAGATTTAAAAATTAATACACATGAAAACATACACATAAACACTAAAAGGAACGATAAAAAGCAACACGATCTAATGTATGTAATATATAGGTAGCACAGATAACGTCAAGAATCCACTAGAATTTCAAGATCAAGAGCATCTAAAGATAATTTGAAGGTTTTATTTATTACAACTTTATAAATAGATCTACTATACAATAAATCATCAAAAATCATTATTTTCATTAACTGGGACGTAGCAGGCCAAGAACATCTTGTGTCGGTTCACATAGATGCAATCTTTGATGGAATCAATACGTCGACGGTACACTTGGGGCTCAAACTGCACCCAAGGCTGGCGAAGACCAAATTTTTCCACAAGATTGTCCGCCAATTTCAAGAGTTGCAGGTGATTCTCTCCTTCGATTCGTTGCATTCCTGTATATTGTGAGAAATCCCTCGTGAGATCCCATCTACCTGCATAAATGAAAATAGCAGCCTCAGGGTGCTTGCTCGGGATTCCCTTGGTGATGATATTTTGTTGATCCATCAAATAAAAATGGTCATCAGGTCTTCCATTCGGATGGTGATCGGAATAAAACATCAAAATATTCTTGATTCTAGTCTTCAATAAAGCATTATAGAAAAAATGAAATAAATCCTCGAAAACACATATAAATTCAATTGTTAACTCCTCGCAATCTCCAAGTTGTACCGAGAAAAGATTTTCAATGCAATCTTTGACGACCTGATCACTGAGTGAAAGTTCACCACTCCCCGGTGACACACCGAATCGGAACATCAGCCTTGCTTTTTTCTTGATCGACGCGTGGAAATTGAAACACAAATTTTTAAGGCCTATCTTTGATCGTCCTAATATGAACAAATCATCAATCCAATTCAAGTTTCTCAAAAGTCTGTATTGATTCTTGGAAAGATAGTCGAGGTGGCACGATAAGTGATCGGACGATCGAATTTTCTTAAAAAAGGAAAATTGAGACAAGTCCTTCAAGAACATCCTTTCTGAACTGGCAAACTTCTGAATCCAATTTTTTTTTTCGTTGATGATAATCCAAAAGACGTGCGCTCCAAAAACAATCGAAGGATCCGTCACAAGCATGCCTTGAAATCCTTGATTCACTTTAGCCAACTCAAGCACATCCGCTGACTCCATCTGTCCCAACACTTCTAACTTCAAATCGAAACACAACTCCTCCATTGGAAATGACATCAAATTCTTCATTTTGAACGACATTATTGACTTTTACCTGTAAATAAAAGAGTATATAAAATGTTATAGATTAGACTTTGTTTCGACATAAAAAGGTGTCTTATGAATGGCGGAAATCTTAGAGAAACAGCAAAATTGACTTCGGGTAGCCAGATCGTAAAGATCCGCAAAAGTTAGACCTGTAAAAGTGAATTAATCAAGTAATAGACAATTACTTCAAACAATAACTTCATCATCGAAGAATATTTTAGAAATTTATTCAAAGTAATAATTCTAGAAAGAAAAAAATTGCCAAAATAAAATCGAAGATGAACGAATCTAAATGGAAAAATAGATGAAAAGACAAGTGCAGAGAAATGAATCCTTTTTTGAGCGATCCTTCTTTTTATATCGTTACCAATTGATAAGGCTCTGGCATTATTCGACATCTGCTGGCCAAGAGGGAGGAGAAGAGACAACTGGTGCCAACGGCTCAGTTAGGTCAAAACTTGAACGAGATAGTGCTAGAGAGAACAGTAATTGAATGGAAAATGGGACAACTTTGGGTTAATAGATTTTTGAAGATTTCCAGCATTCTAAAAGATTCACACGATAGATAACCCCGTGGTTAATGCTGGCGTTTTCTTGTCAAAAAAGATTAATTTCTAACGCACTTTTTCGGAAAAGCACATTCCTTTAAGTTAAAAAGCGGTTGTTTATGAGTTGCCTATAGAGAAGGCAACAAAACATCCAGAGGTGACTTTAGAAAGCTTTAGAGCAAAAGAATTTAGAACAAAACCCGAAAACAAACTCACGAACTTGTTCGTTTCGACAATCAGGCTGATATGGTTGATAGTGTAGATAGTTAAGCGAGAGTGGGCCGGCCTGTCGTGGCTGAGATGGCGTTGTGCCTGGTTGTTGTCTTCATAGTGAACCAATGAGCCTATTACACTCATCTAATCATCATCTAATCATCAAAAGAAAATTTATGGCTAAAATGGCTTTTGGGTGTTTAAGACTAATTACACTCACATCTAAGGGCGGAAGTGTCTTTTTCGCTTTTCACATTTTTTTGTATTATTCGCTCAAAATTTTAAGAACGGATTTTTCGTATCCATAGATTACTTAAAATGGCTTTTGGGTGTTTTAGTACCTCGGTGTTGAAATTTTTCATGCTTCTTATGGCTGATAAGCGGGGTTGCCTAGAGATTGTTGAGAATTTTGTCTGGAGGGTGCCTCATAATCATATTCTTCAACTGCAAAATTACTTCTGAATTATCCATAATCACTCTGGAGGGTCTGGCCCAGTCAAAGGATCACTGATTCCTACAAAAATTTTACAGGTTAATTTTGAGTGGCGGTGCCCAATATCTAACCGGAAGAGGCCAACAATTTTTTTTGAATTTGCCTTTTGACTGGGCTACATCCTCCCAAGTGATTAGGATTAATTATGACACACTCTGTAAAAGCTTTTACCTCTGATTGTCTGTATCTATTTACGAATTCTAATTGTTTTTTACAGAAAGAATGATGCCTTGGAGAATGTCGCTGGAAATGCGCAAACTGACATCATTCCCAATCGAGAAGCTATGCTATGACCTAAAGCTGGAGGTTCTGGAGCAAATGGAGCCGGACGATGCGATCGAATTGACCAAGGTGAATGCCGGATTTCGATCGATCCTGCTGCGGACACCCTGGATAGTTTTTGGGCATCAGGTGAGCTGCATCGAGAATCAAGAATTCGGCGCGATTTGGATCCTGAAATTGGACTATTATGACGCGTCTGAATACCATGATCCCACTCTCCACTTACCATTGACCAAACGAATCCGCTCGTGTCACCAATATCGTGTATTTTATTGGAACGACGAACACACGACCATCCTCGCGAATCAATTGAAGTCTGTGAAACATTTGGAGCTCGAGGTGGACAAAAACGAGGTTTTGCTAAAATTTTTTGAGAATTACGGCTCGATGATCAAAGAATCCGCGTCTTTTTACGGGAAAGTTGATTTGTCTAGTGAAGTGATCAAAGAGCTTTTCAAGAATTTCATTGCAAATCAAATGAATGACTGCGAAAAAGTCAGGTTTTATTGCTTCTCCACTGCTGTGTTTCACTTCTACTGCGATGCTTTTGTCAACACTTCGGTAAAGTTCTTGCAAGTAGATGTTGAAACGGATCCCTTTGAAGAGATCGTGCAATTAATCGTAAAAAAGCCGATCTCAAGCAAGAATTTGCAGGCGGCTTTTTATGTGCAAACAAAGCTCCATTCTCAGGAGATGCATGGCCGGATCGTCGATTTTCTTTCGCAATTCCCGAGAATGAAGCGATTCCGCGGAGTCACGAAAATGGCGAATGAACTATTGGAAGAGCATTTGGTCGAAGATTGGACATATTTCACGGAGAAATCAATTTTTCGACGAAACATTGACTCCAACATGGATTGTGTCTACATGTTTCATTATGCACCTGACCCTGTGTGGTATAGCAATTTTTTCCTCAGATGGTTTTTGCGCCTTCTACGTTCAACCGTCGTTGGAAATGATAAGATTTTGAGAATCTATTATGGTGTTTTTTTTCGATCCGTTTCTGTAATGTTTCTATAATGTTTCGATAAGTTTGTCATTTTGCGGATTTTTAATTGTCGGTAAATAAATCTCCAGAAATACTAATTATAAAATTCTGTTAGAGAAATGTACTTACATATAAAAACATTGGGAAAAATCATGTTGAAGTTAGTACGGGATAAGGGCCACTTTCCAATACAAAAAATGCCCCTTTTCCCGAAGACCCTATACTCGACTTCCAGGCATCCGATCGACTTCGGGTAGATCCCATTAGAATCGCCATAAAATTCGGCTAGACAAACATCTAAATCAGATTTGGTACTTACCTATTTACTGAAGAAAAAAGGGGTTTTTGGCCCTTTTTTCAAAATTTATCGGAATTCTTCCAGGTAAGTACCAAATCTGATCTAGATGTTTGTCTAGTGAATTTTATGGCCATTCTAATGGGAGCTACCCGAATGCGATCATTGGAGTGCCCGAAATGAGAATCCCTTAGGATTACTAAGAAACTTTATCTTTAATCACCTTTTTCCTTTAGTTTGATACCATTTTTGGTACCAAACTCGAGAAAAAAGGCTGATAGTTTACTCCTCTCCACGACCTCTCCATGGAAAAATAGGTAAGACAGGTAAGGAAACAAGATGCAAAAGATCAAAAGTGAAAAGAAAATAGAAATAAACAATTTTTTCGACAAATGCCGAAACGGAATTGTCTTCGCTTCGGAAGTTCTTCGGAAGTTGCCAACAAACTCTACAATCACCATTTAAAGGTACATATTTTAGTAATCGATCCTTTTGGATTTACTTTTTTGAGGATTACGCCTAACTTCAATCCGTGAAGAATCTACTACTTCAGAATACACTTTGGACTGCCAGAAATCTGTTGGAGTTTGGTTAATGCTGGCTTTTGCTGGTTTTGTTTCTGTTTTTGTTGTTTTCGTTTCTGTTTAAAAATCTGTTTTGTTTAGATTTGTTCTTCTTATTTGCCAGTGCCTATCTCAAAAGTGGATGATGGTGATTTCCGTTTTCACTTTGAAATTTTATTTGAAACTTTAGAAAACATCGGCGAATGGTATCGTGGATCGGAAATGGATTACACGGGGATCGATGGAACCGAGCCTCCACAAGTGATTCCATCTCCAGAGGTAAAAGAAATGAAAGAAATTTTGCATTAAAGAAAATGAAGGTTGAAAATGTCTCATGAAAATGTGATATAGCTGCCAATCTTCATTTAATTCTTCAGGTTGATTTCAAGAACGATGACGAGACAGCTGATTAGACAATGGGCCTGAGATTTCAGAGTGTGTTTAAAAAATTTTAATAAATCAGTGTTAATATTCAGTTATCAATGACACGATGCAACTTGCTAGGAAACGATCGGGAAGGTTGAATAATATTCAAGTTTGTTTAAGAGTGAATTTTAGTGGCCCTCGACTAATTTTGAGTCCAATACCTTCTGTGAGCAGTCTAATCGGTTTGCGCTGCCTGGCGCTAATTATGAACTTGAGATTCAGCTACGTCAACAATGCAACAGGATATTACCAAGGCTGCAGTCTGCGATCAAACCATGAATTCGGTAGACTACGAAAACTATGAGAAGATTCAGAAGTGAGCAAGATTTCCAGATTTTGGAAGCGGATACTGCACAACTCCGCCAACATTTTTTTGTCGCTCAGTGAGTGTCGGAAAGATTTCAATTGATCGCTTCATTTAGGAGCCACGCCAAAAATGCTCTCCTTTATCGCGGGCAAAAGTTGGACTTCGAGAACAAATACAACTTAATCTACAAGAAAATGGTTTGTTTCTTGGCAAGATACTAGCAAGTGTTAGAATCTTGGTCATGCTTTCTGTAGAAAGAACTGTGCGCTATTCGAAACGCAACGGCTCGGAACATTTTCAGATCAAAAGATGGGCTATCACAAGTGGATAAAATTGCGTCAATCAATCCGAGGTTTACATTTGATTGAGAATGAATTGGAAAAGTTGAGAGGCAAGCTGGCAGAAAGGTGAGAACCGCCAAAGTTCATTGATTAATAAGCAGCTGCATGATTCTTTTAAAAAGTTAGTCACCTAATCAAATTTAGTGAACGAAACACGGAAAAAGCGCATTCGATGTTGGAAGATGAGCGAATGACGAATGAATCATTGAGAACAGATTTGGATGAGCACAAGGCATATTGCGGTCGGTTTTTTTCAACGATACGAGAACATTTTTCAAGTTGATAATGGAATTAAAGTATCCATTTAGAGAGTCAAATTGATGAATTGCAAATCAAATTGAATATGGTCAATGGACAAATTGACGACTCGAGGAAGGAGCTTACCAACAAAGATACTACAATTCAAGTAAGGGTTTTTTGCTTTCTTTTAAGGGTTAATTTTAGGAATTGCAAAGCGACCACTCGTTCGGAGCCAACCGATGCCGGTGACACAACACAGGTCTTGAATCTACAAAGTGCGAAGAAAGCAGTACGAAGACGGAAACTTGACGGTACGAAGTTTCTTTCAGTACGAAGACTGGAACTTGATGTTAATCGCCCGCGATGATGGATCTTCCGAGATCAGCTCTCAGAAGTGGCAGAAAGGAATGGACAAGTGAGTGGTTTTAGTTGGTAGATTTACACAAGAATCCAAACTACTTGTACTTTACGTAAGCTATTATAAGTTAGGTATCTCGGCGAATTGAGCAGCGTGCCGGCTTTTCTTTCACAAGTCACGATCTCTTTGGTGCAAACTTTGCACGAAGAGCGGACCCTCTCGCAACCATCATATTCTGTGATACACGATGATTGAAGTGCCTTTTTTAGCCGATTCAGTATAGTTGTTCTTTTTAAATGTCGATATTTATTACAAATTTTATATTTACAGATCTCATTTTGTTGTTTAGCTTACATAGCTTTCGTTTTTTTGTATATTTATTGCAATAAATATCTTAGAGTCAGCAGCTTTTGGAATCTCGGTATTGGTCGCTTATTAATTTTCTAAAAACCAGCTGAAAAGTCCATCTATCGCCGGGTTTTACAGCTGGCGTGTCGGGGGTAACGCATTGTCTCACAAATGCTATCCTATTTTTGCTTTGTTAAAGGGGCAGGTCACCATAAAAATTGACTTTCTCAAATCATGGTTCTATGACACTCAATGTATGTAGTTTTACCCCTAACCACGAATATGCCATTAGAAAAGAAAATAAAAATTTCTTCATGGTGAAAGCTCTTCCCCTCTCGGGCCGAATAGACGCGCCTTTGGTGGACCTTTTCACATTACTTTTACGGTTGGAAAACGTTCGAACATGTTTTCCATGTTTTTAATTCTCTATCTACTGCCAAATTTTCAGCCAAATCGGTCCACGGGGGGCTGAGATTCCGAAGGTATGCATAGGAGCGCCGTGTCTGCTTGGCGGTCGGACAGACGTTTTCTTTTTTTCCTTTTTATGGTTAAATTGTCTTTGAGATACTCAACGATACTGTAAGTACTCCGAACTCATTACGGTACGCCGGAGTGATTGATACACGATTTAAAATTCTTAAATGTGGATACGGACGTTTATATCACGGAAATTTCCCCGTTTTCCCCATAAAACACCCGATTTTCTTAATTTCATTTTTCACCTTCAAACTGAGCAGCTTTACAATCTTCTGCCAAATGTTCTTAGTTCTAGCTTTGGAAAAAGTTTCTATCAAAAAATAAAGCTGAAAAACCATTCTGAGCAGCAGGGGAGTCGAACCAACAACCCTCTCTCCAGCGCTAGATTTTCAAAGGTATTCCTATTGACAACAACTGTTGCGTGGATAGCACAGACTTCACTGTTAAATTGCTTAACGAAATGTGGCTGAAATGCGGGTGTAAAGATCAATTGAAAAGGAAAAAAGAAAGCTTTTTTAGTAAAGATAGTAGTAGTATAATGGGTCACGCTAGCGCACCCTTTCACCCTCTTCGTAAAAAAGACAAAAAGACGTCTTTTTCAGCAAAAAATGACTAAATTTTGCGAGTTTAAGCATGATTTTACGTGTTTTTCTATTTTTGGGTGAGTTTAGAAAAAAATTTCTGGCGCACCAAACACCCATAACAGGGTGATTTCAATTTTTCACCGTTTTTAGCGTTTTTTGACGTCTTTTCAACTATTTTGATGCTCTAATAAGCCAAAAATCAACAATTATAGCAAGTTTCCGGATTTTAAAGAATTCTGGTGGTAGTAACACACGAGTCATGAATTGCGCTACTCAAAAGTTAGTTCAAATAATCAAAGAATTCAAATAAAAAGCCCCTTATTAAATGACCTCCTTCCGAAAAGACCTGAAAGCCTTGACCAATTTAGACCTGTTAAACCTTGTACAAGAGTTAAAAATCAAGAATTTTCGAGGCGTTTTTATGCGAGACACTTTACCTTTGAAGATATTATCAAGAGAAGTTGGGATTGTGAATCTTGACTCTTCAAATAATAAGGGTACACATTGGGTTTGCTACTATAAAAATCAATGTAAACTTTTTTACTTTGATTCTTTTGGATTAGATCCTCCAATAGAAATTATGGCATACCTGAAACAAGGAGAAGATAAAAGAAAAATAGAACTCTCAACATTTCAAATTCAAGAATTCAATACACATCATTGTGGTTATTATTGTTTACTTTTATTAAAGTTATTGGAAACTTTAGATTTCCAGGAAGCAGTACTATCTTTAAATTACTAGAAGCTCGAAAATGCTTTGGTTTTATACCCTTTTTTTAAGAATCATGCGCTTGTAACCATTATTAATACTATCTTTCTCTTCATCATTAAAAGTTGATTTATCTCTATTATCAAACACAACTTTCTCTATTTCTTGCGTAAATAATTGATGCTTGACACTTCGAATGCAATATTGTTTTCTCTTAACGACAGTTTTATTAAACAGACTATCCCTGTAATCTTTTAATGTGATGTCTTTTTTCACAACATTTTTCTTTATCCCTTTATTCTTTTTAAATTCTTTACCATCAAGGGTTTTATACGCATACTGCTTTGGACGTATTGCTACTATTTCAGTCATAATCTTACCATTCAATTCGTCTTTCATCTTTCCAACAACTTTTTTATTTTCTACCGAATGGAGAGGATGTCTTTCTGGATATTCACTAAAGTCGAAATAATTTTTTAAGGTTTGATCTTTTTCAATATCCTTGTAAATGTCTTGAGTATAAACTTGGTAGATCAAACTATCTGTATCTTGATAAGCTAGCTTTAGTCTTCGATATCCGTACTTATTTTGCATTACGTTATAGTGGAAATCATACATCAAATACTTACTCAAATCAAGTATAGCGAAGCCTACATAAATCGGTTTATCAAGAACAATCTGAGTCTTCTCCATTTCCACAAGAACAAGATGTCCTTCGTTGACAACAATGCTTCTCTTATAATTAGGTTTAGGAGCATAAATCCTTTTAATAGTTGAATCATTTTCACCTAAAACAATTTTAACATCAACACGTCCTCTTACGTTTTCCATAGTCTTTCCGAAGATGGAGTTATTCATCAACTTGAAGAAATCTTTTTCAAATTCATTTTTAGCTTGTTTACGCAGATTAGTATTCAAATTGATATATTTCTCAAGCCATTCACTTTCTTTGAAAGTTATAATCCTATGAACTTTCTTAATTTTCATTCCAAGCTCTAGGCTTTGTAACAAGTTCCTATGGTGAATAACATATTTTTCTTTGTCACCTAATGTATTACACAATTTCTTTACATTACTTCCAAACTCAATGTTTTGTGGACACAATGGAAAGTCATCATGCCGTTTATGTAGACTTTTCGGGTATTCTAGATCAACTTCGAACATGCATCCTTTATTTCTTTTATTGAGGTGAGATATATACTTCATGACATCAAGTTTTAAATCATGACTAGGAAGATTTTTATCAAGACTGTTAAAGTTTTGAATTATATCATCATTTTCAAATTTGAACCCTCCAGTAGGCAACTTTTGACACATTGCCCAACCATAAAGATTATTAGCATCTAAGTATAATAGGTATGAAGGATTCTTTTTAATGAAACTTTTCATGAAACCTGGATACCTTGATTTCCGTTTCAGCCAAGATCTTAATCGTCTTGGAATTTTTTTATTTTTGTGGTTATGAATATATTTGTTATTAGCTTTAGCATATCTTTTGACAGCATTAACCATTCCTCCTCGAATACCTTTTTCAATCATATTATACATTTCTATATCTCTTATTGTTTCTAAGTTTACTCCAGTTATTTTTAACATAGCATCCCAAGATAACCCTGGACTAGTATAATACCAACAAGGATCTAATCCATAAATATCTAAACTTAAATTTCGAAAGTTTTCGAAAACATCTGCTAGCAACAGGACATCATTAATCATGTAAATGAGTGTATAATCTTCCATGTTTTTACATTTCATTTCTTCCCAGACTTCTTTTGCGTAATTATAATCTTTCTTCGAACATCTCTTGCCATTTAATTTATCACTGAAGCTCCTTCTATCTGGTAATTTAGTTTCTTTAAATTTTTCAAATGAATCTATGTATTCATAAGGATAAACACCTTTCTTTCTCATCATTTTGAAAGCTTTATCACCTTCAATATAGAACTGATTGTAAAAATCTTTTGAAGTATTCATTTGATTATCTTTCAAATTCTTACTTAAAGAATCTAGAGAAGAACTCATAAATCCAAAAGAATCTAGAAATCTAATTTCATAGAAGCGATCCCTTTCCGTTTGTTCGAGTTTCCAAGGTTTCCAATAGCTAAAACTTATAAATTTTTCAGTATTATTAGGAATCAATTTAATTTGAATTTTTCTTTCATACAAATAATGATTACTATCTAGATCTCCAATGATATTGTGAGCATCATAACCTTTCAAATTGTGAAAGAATACAGGAATAAAAGAGTTTTTTTGCTTCGAGAAATTACATAATCTACATAACGGGCCTCTATATTCCCCAGTCCAATGATCATGATCTTTACATTTTTTACTTTTATCAGAATCAAAAATGTTACCACAAATAGGACATTTCTTACACTTTTCGAAATCTTCAGTTTCTCGAGATGTCAATTCTCTTATTTTCGATTCTGGTAGTTTCATAATCTTTTGACTAATTTCAACGATATATTTATTGAATTCAAAGGCAGCACCACGACCAACATAAAACTTTAGATCATAAATTAGTTTAGTGAACGAATCAACTACAATTATACAATACCCAGATGGAATATGCTTTGTAATATTCCTCGTATTCTTCTTTTTTTCGTTAAATTCAATATTTTTTTCTAGAATTCGTTCATTATTACATTCGAAATCAGCATAAATTATGTATCTATGCTTTTGAGTTCTCTGATAATTTTTAAACTCCAATATTTTCTCGTCACTTAATTTATTTTCAACAGGTTTGTTCAAGCCACAGTCTTCTAGATGACTCATATACTTCTTCCTATCATAGTAGAATGCATGACACCTAGCACAAAAGAACTTCTGATGTTTATCTCTTTTGTTCATCAGTTTGTTTAGATCTTTTATGTATGCGAAATGACAATTATCACCATCTTCTAAGTAGAGAAGATTAACGATTTTGTGTTCGTTTTCGGGTGTAGCTACTCTCTGTGAGGGTAGAAGTCTATCGATATCCTCAATAAAAATCTTTTCACCATTTCTAAATAACTCAGTCTTTTTTATTCCAAAAACGTTTATTATCAAATCGTTATTCTTCTCAAAAGTTTTAATATCTTTGAATAACATTGGAAATGTACATCCTGTAAAATTCAATTCATTCTGGAATT